GGGGTGCTAACACTTAACCATAAACGTTATCGTTTACTTTCTCCGTTTTGTAGATATTACTTTTCTCCATTAATCTCGGTCACGTTGTTTCCATAGCAACAAAAACTTCCTGTCAACAGCGCTAACTCTCCTTTAAAATAAAAGCATGTCCATAAATAGAAAGCCAAGCCAAATTACACTTAAGACATATACAACTGCAACGAAAGTAACAAACACAATGCGATATCCTTTTCAATTTCAAAGAACACAAATTGGGTTAATAACGATAAAACAACAATACTGTAGAATAACAAAATGAATGCCGTGAACACACCAAAATACACGTGTTGAAGCGGTTCGCTGATGATTACTACGCCCCCCACCCCCTGCGCGGGCCGAATACTCGAATATTCGCTGCTGATTGCTACCGAATATCCGGAGCCCGAAAAATGGTATTCGGGACAGCCTAATTTTACTAAAGAAATACCTCTGAAACGACGTATGAAAACACACCTGAAACGATTAAAAAGCTGCTTTTCTTCCGGCATGACTCTGTTTTTCACTCTGTTTCCTCCAGATGACTACAAATCAAATCCAAACATCCAGATATCAGAGCTGACCTCCTCGGACCAGTGTGCCAGAGAGATGTGGAGGACCAACGGAGGTGAGAAATCACTCTTTTAACTCCTACTCTTGTTTTGATATGATAAGGGAATGTAGCTTTGGTTGTGTGTCATTCAATTATTTCCCAGTTGTTTGGTTAGCGGCTGTGAGCAATGTGAATGTTTTGTTTGCATAACTTGGCTAGTATAACAGGGGAAGTCCGTCCTGCGTGTGCCGTAAGTGGTTTGACTTCCTGGTAAATTAATTTCCAATTTAAATCATGTGCTTTTAGAGACAAGAAAACAGCATTTTATTTTATTTTCATCGGGATATTTTTTTGTTTTGTTTTTCATTCCCCTTGCGTCCTTTTTTAAATGATCTTCTATCTAGTGTCTCTACTTTGACATGTCTCCATGCTTTAATGTTCAAAAAGCTCTTTATTTTTCTCATACAGCCAAAAAACTGTACTTCCTTTTTCACCCCTTGATTACCCCTACAAAAAACCCAATTACAATACAATTTAAAATATTAATCTAATCATTTAATTTCAAAATCAGACGTTAAACAGGACACATTCTGCTCATCATGTATATCAGTATGTTGTGTCTCTACTTTAAAGAGTCCTCTCCTGCTGATGTTCAGGTGTATATCAGTATGTAGTGTCTCTACTTTAAAGAGTCCTCTCTTGCTGATGTTCAGGTGTATATCAGTATGTAGTGTCTCTACTTTAAAGAGTCCTCTCCTGTTGATGTTCAGGTGTATATCAGTATTTAGTGTCTCTACTTTAAAGAGTCCTCTCCTGCTGATGTTCAGGTGTATATCAGTATGTAGTGTCTCTACTTTAAAGAGTCCTCTCCTGCTGATGTTCAGGTGTATATCAGTATCCACTGTGACATGTCTCCAGGCTTTAATGTTCAAAAAGCTCTTTATTTTTCTCATACTGCCTGTGCTGCAGGACCTCTTTTCACCCTCTGTCTGAAACCATAGCCTGGTTGGTTAGCTGGGCGGCTCTGTTGTGATTGGTGAACCACTTAGAGATGTCCCGCCCCTTAGCCTATCACTTACAATGTGTTGGAGCTAGCCAATAGAAGCGCTAGTGATGTCACTTTGTTCAGGAAGTAAACAAAGGACTCTAATGGAGGCATTTTGCAGACAATTAACACAAAAACCTATTAAAAAAGCATAACAACAGGGCCTAGTTAATAAATGTTTTTTTCACACCTTAGCCCCACTTGTAAAAAAAAATTTTTTTATCTCTAAGTGTTTAATGATTTATAGTTGGAATGCACTGAATAGTTGAGGAACTTATCGATATGCCAGGATTAACCTTTTTTTTCTGTCTTTTTTTTTCCAGGCCGTACCTCCAGCTCCTCCTCTCACGCGGAAACAAACTCCTCAGGTGTGCCTCTCATTCTTACCTCTGTGAGAACATGAGTCCTGCAGATTCTACGCTTGAATTATTATTATTTGTCCTGCCGTGTCTCCAAGGTCACGCTATGGGGACGTTGAAATGCGACACTTCTTGCACTCAGGAGACTTTCTGAGCCCGGCTCTCTGCAGGAAAGAAAAAATGTGAAAAAGTTTCACATTGTCTGAAGGACGTCAGTGAACTCAGGGTAGCGTGTAGATATTTATGCTTGGAAATATAATGTGTATATTTGAAGGATTGCCTGATAGAGCAGGTAGATATCAGCAGCAGCAGTTTCACCGTGCCTTCGTCCTTGAAGGAGTCATTGTTCATGACACCTGACTCGTTCGACTCGCCCCTTCGTTTTTTCTGCTTTTTTGTTTTGCAAAGATGCATTTCATAATCTTGTACACATCCTTTATTTGATTTTAAACTCATTTGTGTGACTTTTAAACTGTATTCAAAGCTCTTAATTCAGTGGTTATGCTTGACATATTTACAGTCTGTGATTCTAGATGAATGATTGTAATTTATGCTTGGGTAGTTTTGCCATATTTCATATTAATGTGGCTAAAGTGTGAAAAAATGAAGTAATACTGTTTTGTTAGGAAGGAAAAAGCAGTTTTGTTGAATGGCTCGAATCCTGTTCTTTTAAACATTTCTTTATGCCAGGAAGTACAGAAATACAGAAACCAAAGAAGTTGTACTTTAAGACATGGGATGTTCAAAAAACCCAAAGAAGTTGTACTTTTTCTGTGCGTAATGAACCAAACTTTGTCTTGGACACAATTTGCTTTGGTCTAATTGCAATATACTGTAATTGCATGATGACTATTGCAAACAACGACATGCAAACAACTTTTAAAATGCTTGTTTCCTGAATGGAGTTTGGTTTCGATCAGAGCTAAATGCTAACACTTGAGCCGCTCCATTATCCAGCGTCATCTAAATCAGGCATTGAAACGGCAGCGTGATCTTGTTTTAAATCATAGATATCTTCATAATGTTTAACTTTAATATGATATGAACTCACCGCCACTTACAATGTATATTATTAATTAAGGTACAAAAGAAAATACATACATAAATCTTTGTATCTTTGTGTCTTTGTTGTGATTACTACCAATTCAATTAGCTTTTAGCACTAATCATTGTTGTCAAGACAAGTTGAAAGCTACAGAAAAAGTGAATAGCTTTGCCTTGCGTCAAGATGTGTCTTCTGTGTCCAAACAATGTGTGTTTGCTGTTTATCCTAAGTATAATAACATGATCCTCACATGAAGCGAAACGGCATTTCCTATGGCCGTCCTGTCTGTAACTCATATCTCATAAAATGTTCTTAAATCTGCTGTGACCTGCAGCTAGACTTCAAGTTGTATCCTGGACTATAACTTATTAAGGACATTATCTGAGGCTGACTCATGAAGTGAAAGTCTCTTTTGCCTGTAGTGTTTGCTCCTGGGTGCTGATGGGAATTTTGCCAGCTGACTCGGTGGAATTTATCTGTGCTTCTTATCAGCATTTGCTCATATTGTAATGTTGCAGGTAATACACGTATACAGAACTCTCCAGATTCTCGCAGCACCCTCTTGTGCCATGTCTTAGCATACAGAATAAACGACTCATATAAACTGTCAAATAATCGTTGGATTCATACTTTGCATTTTGTTTGCGTTCAGAAGGTTTTGCTTATATTGCTTGTACTCTCACCAAGATTTCATATTTCCTGCAAAGATGTGTTGTGCCTATATTGCCAGTAACCTATCGTTTAACTGTAAAAACAATAAAGTAAATTAAGTGAAAATGAAAGAAGATTTTATTGAGTTTTGTTTGCCACATATGAACACATGCAGGACTCAAAAGTTCCACAATCTGGAGAGGACACCAAGTCAGCTATCATTTTATATATAAGTAAGTTGTATATATTTACAATGCTTAATAACCATCATCGACACATGATAAAACATTTTTTATGGTGACTTACGAGATCAGGTATCATATAACTTGATCATTGCTGTACACAGATTTTTCTTTGCATGGATCAAGTCCCATGGTTGTAATACATTATATTTTTTGATTTTTCACTCTTACAATGCAGTAAATGTGATTAAGGTTAAACAATATAATTTAATCTATGCATGAACAACACTTACAATTGCATTTGTTCAACAGAAACTGGAATCCCCCAATTTTACACCACTTTTTGATGATGAACAAGACAATTATAGTTGTAATTCATGTATATTTCCCCCAAAAAACTATATATATAGTTTTCATTTCATTTTACAGATCTGAAAAAAAAGCCCCGAATATATGTGTATGTTAATAATATGTTTTATTAACATCTTGAATCATATAATTACCAATATGTTTTTTATACTATTGTTTTATATTAAAAGTATGAATTATTAATTACTTTAAGATCATTTTTTATGTTATTTTTCCACAACATTGTGGCCATAAACTCACTCAGCTGAAATATTATAATAACGCGCTACTTTTATTGCGTTTTATAATGTAAAAAAGTAGTTTAAAATGTATATTTACGATGAAAAATCATAATAATATTTTGGGTGTTCTCTAGTCTAGAATATTCTTCCTGGGCACCTCCCTCTCCACCCTAAACCTATACTCTCACCTCATTGGATATTTCAGCTGTCATTCAAAATGTCTCCTTCCGATTAGTCAAGTCTCAGGTGGGCGGGGTTTGTTTCCAGGAAGTGAATAACGTGACTACGGGCCTCACGTTGTCATTAAAATCTACTTTTTGCTTGTCATTCTCGCAACTAACGTTTAATTTAACCGGTGTTAAAGCCACCAACATGGGGGACGAGGAGGAAAAGTATGACGGCATGTTGCTCACTCTGGCACAACAACAAGAAGGAGGAATACAGGAGGTAAGTTAGCGTGTTGATAACATGTGGAAGCTACCATGCTAATATAGAAGCTAATGCAGTTAGCCTGTATGCTAACATGCGCCTCTCGCCTGTATGAGGAAAAAACGACTATATTACAGTTTTAAGCACGTTTTGTAATGATTATCTGTAGCCGAATAGATCATAACTTTACTTGTTTAATACATTGGATGTTATGTTAGATTTGGCATACAAGAAACAAACATTTTAGAACGTTTTAGCTCTTGTTAAAATCAACATTTATTATGAAGAAACCATCAAATTTACAGTGTTAAGCAACAATTATTATGATTATCAATAGCTGAACACACCATTACCTTTTTTTTTTATTTAAATAAATAGGATGTTATGTTAAACGTTGCATACAAGAACCAAATAAATTAGCACCACATTTCAATTTAATCTCGTTAAAACTCGTTTTTTAGAGTTAATATTCTTTGAAAATTAGTAGAATGTTAGATAAATATACCTCAAACATCTAAACATTATTATGCAGCCGTGTGTTGTGTGTGTGGGGTCAAATCTTCTGGAACAATCTGAATGATCTTGGTACACACTTTCTAATTATTGAGGATAACTAAATGTATTATTATTAACATTAGGCTGAGACAGTTTTGGAGGAATATTTTCTTCTGCAGTAGTGTGCTACTATGCCACATTTTAATATAAGGATTAAAGAATATTATGTGTAAAATGTTGTTCATATTCAAACTAACCATGAAGATGATGAATGCCAACAATGCTCAGTATAAAATTCATCTGTCTTTTTCTTCTTCTCTCAACAGCTAGTAAACACATTTTTCAGTTTCCTGCGCCGCAAAACAGATTTCTTCACCGGTGCCGAACCAGGTGCTGCAGAGAAGGTAAGAAATGCACAAAATGCGACTTTTAAGACCATGCATCAGAGCTATACCTCAATTTATACCTCATCTCTTTGTTTTTCAGCTAGTCAAGGATGTGGTCATCAAACACAATAAGCTAGCGATGAAGTCCCAAAAGGAGAAGCAGGTGAAACTGGAGAAGGAAAAGAAAGCGAAAGCTGAAAAAGCAGAAAAGTTAGCGGAGGAGAAGAAAACGAAAGAAGACGGTCCAAGGATTCAGGAACTGACCGATGAAGAAGCAGAGAAACTTCAGTCTGAACTCGACAAGGTGAAACCCCAAAGCCTTGAAGCTCTTGTCAGTGGAAATGGAAACCATCTTGTATTACACAAGTCCATTACACTAGTGGCTCAGTCAGTAGGGGCTTGGACTGGGAGCCGTAGGCGCCGTAGGGTCGCGGGTTCAAGTCCCCGACCAAACCTAAAATATGGAGTGTGGACTGCTACTGGAGAGGTCCCAATTCACCTCCTGCCCTGCCGTGGTGCCCTTGAGCAAGGCACCGGACTAGACTCCTGGTGCTAGACTCCTGGTGCTAGACTCCTGGTAATAGGATGGGTTAAATGCAGAGAACAAATGTCACTGTGTGCTCTGCATGTGTGACCATTTAAAGAGGGGTTCATCCCTCCCGATTCTATCTACATATTTATTGATTTGTTCTGTGTATTTTAGAAAAAGAACGAAGAGGAGAAAAAGAAGGATGAAACACCAAAGCCTGAACCAGAAAAGACGGACAAAGTAGACAAAGAGAAGGGGGTAAGTGGACATATCTACAGAGAAACTTTGGTTTGAATCAGATGGGTCAAACTCAAAATCAGGCCCTTGGTGGATTTAATTTCGGTCCGCAGGATAATTTCTAATTCCTATTAGATCTGGCCCGCCGGTATATTGCACGCACACCTTCACTCCATCCTGAGGGTCTCCTCAGCTCAGAGCCTGAGCCCAAACATTGATGACCTTGCACCCAAGATGAGATGCCAAGTATCTGAACTAGCATCACAGAGCAGCACACTGAGTTTAATGGATGTTTCCTTCTGCACTTTCTCTCTCACGACAACAGAGGGAAATAGTTTTGTTGAAGCTGTTGTTGGCCTGTGGGAAAATGTACTCATAAGAAATGACTCTGGAAAAGCTGCAGATAGAGCCATAAGAAATGAATGCAACTGATTATTTAATGTTTAATGTTGTTTTTATAGGCAATCATTTAAGCTTTGTTAGTTCCAGGTTTAATATGTGCAATAAGTTCATTTCAATAAGTTCTGCAATAAACATTGAACCAGTCCGGCCCTCGACTAGTACCCATTTTTTTAATTTTGGCCCACTGTTTATAAGCCTCTGCTGACATGTTGACTTTGTTTCCTCAGTCTGAGTCTGATGGAGAGGAGGACGAGAAGGACAAAGATAAAATGAAGCCCAACGCAGGAAACGGAGCCGACCTGCCGAACTACAAGTGGACGCAATCCCTGTCTGAAGTAGACGTGAGTGTCACACTGTTTTTATTTAACCAGATACTCGTTTTCAAGGGAGGCCTGGCTTAGATGGGTAGATTAAAACAATAGCAGAGAACATATAGGGACACAATCAGTACATCATCTTAAGAAGCATCTACAGACAGACTTGATTTAAGCTCCCCTATTATGCTAAATGCACTTTAAAGATCTTTTATACATCAATGTGTCCCCTTGTGTGTCAGGAGACTCACAAAGTGTCAGGAAATGCAACCCTCTCTCTTTTCCTCCGTACCCACATCTCTATAAACGGGGCTATACCGGAGCTGATTGGTATTTTGAGCAAAACACTTCAGAGACAGGTTTTGTATAGATATGGCCCTATAATATATGGTTTAAATATAGCTTGATAGGTGAGCTTTAAGTAGCACTTTAATTCTGTTTAGAGAGACCAACACCCTGAGTTTAATTTCCTGTTGCAGCTGGTTAGACGCAAATGGAGCAGCATAACTAAACGCCCTTTTGACCTCCATTTCAACTTAAAGGACAGTTGGCAGAAACAAATCCTCAGAACAAATCAGACGGTGGTCCTGTACTTTTCTGACTGATTTCAAATCTACAAATAAGGCGGGAAAACACCAAGAAAATGCCATGCATACAAAATGTGCTTCTGCAATTTGCGTGGCTTAATTATGGGTTATTACTTTACATTTCAACCAGAATACATGTATAACATATTCCCGTAGCTAAGCATGTGTATTTAAATAGCCTAGGGATGCCAGCGGTTATTCGATTTGTGGAATATTCGTTACAGTCTCCATAATCGAAAATAATCTTTTTTAATTTGATTTTATTTACCGTAATTTTCGGACTATAAGCCGCGTCTTTTTCCCTATTTTTCGACGCTGCGGCTTATATAACGGTGCGGCTAATCTATGGATTTTTACAGCTAACGGCCAACACCTTTAACTCTATGGGCTCTAAGGCCGGTCCGCGGACCCCCACCTTTAAGCGGCGGGTTCCAGCAGGAAAAGCTGGAGGCCGGAAAAGAGTGAGACAGGTAGCGTGCAAAAGTAAAAGTGGAACCGAGAGTGGTATGCCGCTGCTGCGGCTTATATTCAGGTGCGCCTTATAGTCCGAAAATTACGGTATATATATTTTTTATTATTATTTATATTTTTCTTTTTTTTCCTGGCTTAGTTTCAACCAAAATATAGACTAACGCTAATAATAGTAATAGTATTAATAATTGTAAATGGCCATTGGTCACACCACCAGTTTGTTTTACTGTAAA